ACATTTGACCATAAAAAAAAGTTTGTTTTGATTTGTCAATTGCTATGGTAACTTTTTTCCACTCTGAAATGCATGGATAGCTCTGCAACCCATTAGGCTGCCAATTAGCCATTCTAGTCCAATAAATTCCACTCCTTTCATTAGTGCACATGCCTGGTTTTCTTTTGGCTTCTCTCAGTCCCGTCTTGAAAACAACAATAACATCAGAGTTCAGTGTGTTCTCAATCATCACCAAGAAGCAGAACCAGGACTGTCAGCGTAAATGCTACATTGAATTATTTAATACACGACAGATGGAACAAATGTGTAAAGGGGTCAGGATTTATCATGGACACTTTTTCTTTGTCTAAGCAAATGATCAATTTTTTGTTACATTTGTGTACTTTTCCAAGCCCAAATGCTTTCTAAAATTCCTCAATTTTTCCAAAACCAGTAGACAAGTACAGAAAAATTAAGTTCCTACTAGTGATTCTAATAAGTTCTAATAACTAATGTGTCTTATTTTTATGTTTTTATTATTTATTGTTCTTTGATTTGACTAGTTTTATTCTCTCAATGAGGACTAGTGGAGTTAAATAGAGCTTATTTTATATTTCTATTGGATATGCTGTGTGTATTTCACAGCACTTTGAAAAATTTTGTTTATGAAATATATTATAGAAATAAGTGGATTTGCTGTCTTATGTCTCATTGTTTCATGTAAATTAACAATACAGTACATAGAGAACATTTTTGGTGGTAATCCTACTTAAGGGTTATAGTGTTAGTGGCATAATGGCATTAAATATTATCATCTATATATCTTTATTTTCTTCTGTATATGGTACTTTCAGGCCTGTCATAACAAATACTAGATCACTAAACACATGACAGATTGGATAATACTTTTTCGGGGTCGATATTAATCATAGGTACTTTTTTTTCTTGCACTAGTGGAAAAATATTGGTTATTTTTCTGTAGTACGATGTGAACAATACTGTAAATTAAAAGGTGCACTATAACTTCTCGGTTGGGGCTCTGTCACCTTGTTTCTATGGATATGTCATTGCTCTACTTCAAATGTTCCACAATATGATATTAAAGAGCTCTGCCTTACATTTATTAAAATTACAGGTGGTTTTATAGCTCAACAATACTTAGAAAAACTGAGTGGGGTCGCCTCTCCTCAGATCTGACCTGTAACTTGGTCTGGTTTTGGGTTCCATGAAGATAGAAAGGTTTAATACCATACTGTGAAACATTCCAGACAAAGCAATAACATCTCATTGAAGAAAAGTATTTGACAAACCCTCTAATAGAAAAGTTGCACAATGTACCTTAAGAATATTTTTGAGGTGATAAATTTGCTTTATCATTTTGGTTTCAGCATTATTGATGTCGTCTATATTTACTGCAAATTCTGTTATGACCCAGCAGAACTCGACCCAGCCCCAGCCCCCTCTCTCGCTCCTCTGTCTGTGCACTGACCTGTGTGGGATGGCCAGGCCTCCGTCGACTGCCCCCTTCAGGGCTCCAAACACCTTGTTTCCGGTGGTGGTGCGGGCGAGTCCTGCGTCCAGGTAACATGTGAAGGCTCCAGGCTGCCCATCCACACTCTCCACGTTAAACTCGTCTCCCGTCACCTCCACCTGGCCCTCGTACACCTGGTCCATGCCGAACTTGTGCAGGAGCTACAGACAGAGGGAACGTGGTAAGAAATAAAGATCGTCTGCAGAAGAAAAAATTGTCAGCATTATATGTAAAGCTGAACTTTAAATAAGCATTAAGCAATCTTAAATACGAAAAACAAAACTAGTTAATTTTAAACAATTTGGTCCAAAGTTATTCCTCATTCCAATGATTCACCCTGATGAGTTCAAAAGTAGAATTTTGCAGTCACCTCACTGCTAACAACGTTAAATTGAATACCCTGAAACTTACTTTGCATTTGTGCTATAAGTTGATTATCTTAAAGATTTTTTTTTTCTGGGACAATCATTCAAAAATGTAAATACAAGTGTGTATCTTGATTTGACAAGACTATGTAGGAGTTGGCAGGTTCATTCTATCGTCAAGCAAAGAGACTGCTTGACTGGAAAAATAAACGCTCTCTCATCTCACTAGGAGCTACTTAATTTGGTAATGACAGTCAGTTAAGCGCAGTGCATGTTTGTTTGCTTGCTCATCTTCCTGTCCCCAGTTCCTTTTGCTTCTCTCAGTCCCGTCTTGAAAACACAAATAGCATCAGCGAGGGCAAACGAAGGACCAACTCCATTTTGCTCAGTGTGTTTCAATCATCACTGAAAAGCAGGAACCAGGCACAGACCTCTTCTAGTTTAAATATGACATTCACATATACGTTTTACTACATCTACGAATACTCACCCTCCGGGCCAGCAGCAGCCCTGTGCAGTAGGCAGCCGCGTAGTTTGTCAGTCCCACTGTGATCCCATATTTGGCCAGTTCATGGGAGTAGGCTGCGCACACGATCTGGTCTCCTTCAATCTTTGCATAGGCAATCTACAGGTAAAAAAAAAAAAAAGACAAGTCAGGACTACACTGGGAATGGAGGGCTAGATTGAAACTAATAACTAAATCCCTAATCAACTTTTTTGCTACTGAACTCTGTATATGGTGTTTTCTGTGGTTCAGACTTTTTTTGTGTGGCAATTTTAGGTGCAAAAAGTAGGTCAAATCTGGTAAAAAATAGTCTTAAAACTGAGTGCATGTTGCCTCAAGTGGCCAGTGCTATTTCAAGTACTATGCAACATCACTCAGGACTGTCTGGATCACAGCCAGGGTGCTTTTATGACAAACACCAGGCTGTGGGGGCGGAGTTAAAGTGTGGCTATCTCTTAGACCAATCGCACTGCTCCTTATACTTCCAGACCCAGCCCCTCCTCTCTCTTACTCTCCTTTTTAGGCTTGAAGGCACTGCCCAGTTTAGCAGTTCTAGTTGAAACGTGGTTGAGGGAGGAGTTAAGTTGTTTAGTCTCACTTTAAAGAGAGGGAGTAGTTGAATGGGTCATGTTACAAGTGTCCACTCGGGGCACACTGACCTGACAGCAGATGTCTCGGTTGGAGAACCTCACGATCATGCGGTACTTGGGGGTGTTGTACTTGTTCTTGTCTTGCACCACGAGGCGTTTGCGAGCGAAGAAGTCGGTTTTACCCTCTGCAAGAAGATCATGTGTTATAGAATAGTCTCATGTGTAAACAAGGCTGTGAAATTATTATTGGAGATATGGTTTTTGAACAGAATTAGTTTTAGAATTCTGATGAGAGGTATTCATCAATAGTCTCAAATCAATCTTTTAATCTGACAGAAGTTGACCGCATCAGCGCACAAGAGCTGTTTTTTTTAAAATCTTTGCTTAGTTTATGCAAATTAGCGATGCGGTTTGAAGTTTCGTTTCTGTGAGAGTTGCGCAAAACTGAATTAAACACATCATAAACTAAAACGGGCTGATGTGGCTCTAGAGTGGTTACGGTTTATATGTCGTGAAGTTGAATTTATTTATGCAGATTAGTAGTGCAGATAGTAATAATAATGATGATAATTTTAATTTAAAAACATTAATGATTAATCGATAATCGATCGTTAATTCTTCCAATGATTGATTAAGAAAATTTCATCGAATGCCCACCCCTACTAAACACTTTGCTATGACTAGTATACTCTTGCTACACTGAGAGCATACTAAAGACAGCTGATAACATTAAATGAATCTGATAGGCGCTGGAACGCTCGTGTGTAAAGCAGCCTGGTTAAAGGTGCCATATGAAACTTTTGGAGGAATGAGCCACTTGCTTCCTTTTCCTGTAATCTGTAATAATTTGCTCAAACATCGTTGATAAACATGCAAGGTTGGCATTCCGTATATCTGAGCTGTAACTTCATCCGGTGGCGTCACTTGCTTCTTTCCATGTATATTGATTAAGTTTTAACTGTAAAACATTCTCAACTATGAAATGACAGATAAGCAGGTAGTGGACCCTACACAAGAGAAGTTACAAAGTTTATTAAAGACGAATTTGGTAAGGTTAGGTTACTGGAAAGTGTACGTCATTCAGTTTGAACTCAAATTCCAATTCTGACTACAGTTGGAACTTGGATACAAAATTCCAGGCAACGGAGCAGATTAGATAGAAGAAGTGTAAATAGGCTGCCCTGTACAGAGCAATAAAAAAACAGCCAAGTTCTGAAACACTGCTGAAGGTCAAATGTTTATTTAATTTAAGAGTCAGTTTAATCCACTTGTCCCCCTTTTTTACTGAGGACAGGTAGAGTAATTGTGCAGTCCAATTTTAGATTTGTCTTAATCCTAGTTTTGACCTGGACTATAACTGGTTTGGACTTGGTCTAGATCTGGTGGTACTTGGATTTTTTCTTTGGTAGAACTTGTGAACATAGAGTAGCGAACCACAGTAAATAAGATCCTACTAACACTATATACAAGAAAGCCATCTGTTCAGGACAGTTGTCAGTTTAATAGTAAATTTTGCATTAGATCTTATGTAAAAATATCTCACCCCTTCTTCTTCTGAATTTCACCTCATATCTCTTGAAGTACGACTTGTTTTTCACCACTTTTACGAAGCCCTGCAAGAAACCCAGAGCAGTGATCAATCAATGTCAGCTTTAAATAGCAAAAACTATAACACAACCACATTTACGTAATATTATCCGAGCTCTTTCATATGCATAAATTCTTGTCACTGTGCATGTTTTAACAGGACTTCCAAACGTGTTATACTTTTATTGGTGTTGGTTTCATCAGCCATTGAAGCGCCACGCTGGAGGCAAAGCAGACGCCGGTACAGAGCGGGAATTATCCGCGTCCATCCGTCATTATAACTGGACAAAATGAGCTATCAAGGTCCAGTACTAATCCACACACATCGTCTACGTGTATTACATTTCTATTGATGTTTTTACGTACCATTTTAGGGGAGTTTTGGGGCTCTTTCTTGCTGAATCTGCCTGCTTCTGCTGCTTCCGTTCACAAAGCTTGAGGATGTGCTGTTATAGTGTATCAGTGACAGTGGAGCGCCCTCTCCCGGTCAGGCGGAGAACACACGCCTGAAGTTCTGCAACGTGGACAACAGAGGGCGACATTCACCAGGTAAACTAATTTGTAATAGGCATGACTTGTGCCATCAAAAAACACCTCAAAGACAGAGAGAACAGCTTGTAGCAGCGTTGTGGACATATTAAACATTTCTGTAGCTGACGTTATGTGATTTGAGTCAATTTAAAGATCATATATTACACAAAGTGGATTGTTGTGAGCTTTAAGCAGTGTTATAATGTTGTTACCTTCTCAAAAACATGCCCATAGTTGTGTTTTGTTTCATTCCCACCTGTTTGAGTAATCCTGGATTATTAGTCTGTCTACATCTTCAAAGTTCAAAATGTTCTGTTCCACCTTGTGATGTCATGAAGTGTGAAGTTCAGTAGACACTGGTCTGAATTTCATCCAATGATTCTGATAAAAGTGTATGGAGTTAAAATCCTAGTGAAGCACTTTCTGTATTAGCATATGACATCACAAGGTGGAGCTGTGTGTTTTCAGTCTGAGAGAAGAACTCAGTCTAAATATGCAGGGTTTGAGTATTAAATGTGTGAATGAAACAAAACAAACTTCCAGGTATGTTTTTTTTATAGCAAACTATATACCCTTTAAACAAATATGTGTTACTTACCTTTATTTAAATGCTTTTAATAACTTTAATATACTGTACTTTAATACTTTTAAGGTAGTTGCATGTGTATTCTCAAGGATCCCCATACCCCTCTTTGAGAAAAATAATAATAATTGAAGAATTCGAAAAAGATGGAATGACAGTGAAATTAGTTTAAATCAGCTGTTTCTGATCTGTCTATAGTAATAATAATTTAAAAAAATTTAAAAAGAGTTTCGCCTATCTTACAATTTTGAATTTTCAAAAGCAATCAAGTGTTGTGAAGCTGGTGTGATGGTTCTGATGTGAGGTAGACCTGTTTGACTGTCAGTATATAGTTCTCTATTTTTATCCCATATCAGGTCATAGCTTTACATTTGCATTATGAGTAGGCTACAGAATAGATTTACATTATTAAATCAACAATGTTTACATAGTGACAAACTGGAGTTGACTCATGAGGAAATCTATCAAATGTCAAATAATGATACAAACAGATGATACAGATATTTTCAGTTAGTGGGATAGATGGACCTTGTGTCAGTGCACTGAATCACAAGCATTATTTACATTTTAAACATCCAAAAATGGACTAACTATTCCAGCGTTGCCATCCTGCACAGGTCATGTTTCACTCTGGCCACTAGGATGCTCAGCTGAATCCTGCTGACTGTTTCACACTCTGGAACAATGGGAGAATTCAAGGAGCTCCTGAGAGCACAACTCAGTGATAAGCCTCTTGCAAACTTCCCTTTTGAATGAGAGAGATGGAGGGGTTTAGAACAATTTTCTAACAGTCAATTATTGTATTCATTAAAGGAAAAAAAAATCTGCAATGTTTTTCAGCCCCTGTGATTTTTTTCCCTTTTTTTCCTATACAAAAAATATAAGGTAGCTCTTAACATGAAAACTACCACTACATGACATCACAGGGTGGAACAGAGCATTTGGAGCTTTGGAGATGTAGACAGACTAATAACACAAGATCACTCAAACTTGTGTGAATGAAACAAAACACAAGTCCAGGTCTGTTTTTCACAAGGTAACAGCATCTTAAAGTTACTCTGCGTAACTTCTAAGATGTTTGCTTGTCTCCATGGAGATGTTATTTCTTTACATCCCACATAATGACATTAAACATCTCCCTTGGATTTGTCCAGTTACAGCTGTTTTATAGCTCAACGATACCTTAAAAAACCTTCAAAATACCTTAAGAAACATGAATTCTCATCAATATCGCCATGGAGACAAGCAGGCGGCAAACCCCCTACCAGAAAAGTTACACAGTGCAGCTTTAACTTGGCTTAAAGCTTACATGAGTCAAGTTTGTGTGTTGTTTTTTTTTTACTAAAGCTTTCTTCAAATGAGGAAACCGAATCAAACTCTCTTCAAATGGAGAAACTGCTGAGTCACTCCTGGCGTGAGTATTCTAGTTGTGAAATCAGTTCTAGAGAAATTCAGTGAAGAGGATGAGGAGTGGTGCACCAAACAGTGACTTTAAATTTTCTTATCAGGGCCTTGAACATCTGCACGAGTGACTGAGATGGATTTTATCTGACAAACCGAGTGAAAAGCAGAAGGCGCAGTTCCTGTTTTAACTCATCAAATATTCACATGTAGTCGCACTGATACACGATTGTGGCCCTGTACACAAATTAGCATAAGTATAACAAGTGTTCGGATTGGAAATAGAATAAAGATGCATTGTTGCTGTCAGTGGGCTTGCCTCTCCACAGATCTGTAACGTCAACATCTTCACTGACTTGCAAAAAGAGGTAAAGAAATCAAAATATGCTGTGTGTGAGTGTGTGATGGTGAAAATAAGTAGCAAGAAGATTTAAAAGAAGCAGAGTTAGGAAGATTTAGGCCTGTGCAGACCGGACTGGCCACACCACCTGTTTGTCTCGATGGAGATGTTACAGCTGTGCCTGGAATCGTCTTCAGAATGGTATCAAATGTTTGCCTGCATGATATCTCTGAATCTTTTTTATACCAGTGATATGCATTGGTATGTTTAATGCCATATTGTGGAGCATTCCAGATAAAGCAATAACATACATCTCCATGGAGACAAGTAGGAAAAATTGGTCATCTTTAATTCCAAATAATGTCATAAGCTTGAGGCACTATTTATTTTAAATTTTTTTAATTCCACTAAGTATTTTTTATACCCTTACATTTCTGAGAAACCGAAAGGACTCGCCCTTTTTTTGGCAAGAACGGAAGGTCAGCTGATTAGTTCAGTTAAACAAGTCCCTCTGAAATAACAGTACAGTCCCAGGCCAACGAGCATCTGCCAAGTCTCACCTTTTTGTTGAAAATCAAACTCCTAAACAGGACCATGAGCGCTCGGACTGATCACAGACTCTGCAAAATGTGCTGTTTAAATCCATATTTGTATCTTAAAACCTCTGGCTGTGTTTGCTTGTGCCACCATACAAACTGCTAAACATTCAGCCATAGACATGGATGCAGAACACTCCAGTGTGATGTCACTGTAAAATACGAATATAGCTTCAGCGTAACATCTTGGTATAGCGCTGAAACATCTGAACAAACCCAGTGAAGATGAACTTTAAAAACACAGAGGAGCACTTCCTGAGTAAAACACAACTGTAGGTTTATTTTTCATTAAAGATACTGTGTAATATTTCGAGTGGAGAGTCCATCTCCATGGAAATATTACTTTGTCTAGAATGTCCCACTGTATAGATTAAACCTAGTGTGAGTGAGGCAAAAAGGTTACAGCACTAAGCTACATTACAGCTCAGATCTGTGGAGAGGCGCCCAGATTCACAGAAGGAATTGTTTTATTTTTGAGCAACAGAAACACCCGTGATGAATAAATGCTAGATGGAGATGTTTAATGTCATATCCTGGAACATTCCAGGGAAACCAATAACATCTTCATGGCGACAAGCATTTGATGGACCAGACTGTAAACATTGTATACTATATATCTGTGAACATTTGATATTATATATCTGTAAACATTGTGTACTGTATATCAGTTTCTAATTCATCCTTAATTGGAGTAATTTGGCCTTTGTGCTTCTCCCCAAAATTTTACACAATCAAATGTTAGAATGTGAACAAAAGGCAGTGCAGCAGAGTGACTAATCCCTAGTGTCGGGGTTAGAGTTTAAGTTCACGGTGAGGCCAGAGAAGTGAAAGGAGGTGAACTTCTGAGTAAAACGCCCATTATTGATGACTAAAGGTTCAAAAATAAACTTCATGCTCATGGTATAGCTGTCAACCACATCAGAACATCGGATAGCCAAAAAATGTTCTTGAGAATAGGCCTTCTGTTAGTCTACTTCAAAATAAAGTAACTGAAGTGGGCCTAGAGAAGTACACAGCAGTGGAGTGTTAAAATTGACTCTCACAGAATCAATTTTAACATTTTCTCCAATCTGTACTAGAGTTAATTTAACACTTTTGGAAACATTAAGTAACACTGGACCAAAGTTCCTATTTAACAGCAAAATCAAGAGTTAGATTAACAAGAGTAAACGGATAACACTTTGTAGGGTTATCCTGATTTAGTTAAACAACACAGAGGTGTTTTATTTTTATACTTTTAGTTAATTTAAGATTAAATTATGTACAAAACTGGTTCAAACTGGTCTTCTCTCGCGAGAGTTTGAAGTGGGTGGAAGGAGCAAATTAACACAAGAGGAAGTTGGATTAACTTCAACCATATCAACTTAAGCAAATAACCCCAACTCGAACCCCCATTTAATTTTCAAATAGTTAAAATAACACTTTTTGTGTTAAAAACAACTCAAATTGAAATTTTAACCCTACACAGTTTGCTGTGTAGCCTACATCTTTGGGAAGCTGTGTTAACAGTCCCAGGCCTTCAGTTCTAATTAGTTTTGTGTGCTTTAAATTATTTTGGTGGCCGTCCTGATTCCTGCTGTGGGAGCCCTGGTCTGTGATTGGTGGAGTACTTTTACACCTGGCCAATCCTGCCTCACCTGCAGACTCCTCCCCTTGTTTAAGGAGATTGCAGCAGCTGTTCAGGGCTGCTGGTCTTGGTGGTCAGGCTGTTTTTTTGTGTTTGTCTAGTTCTGTAGCCAAGTTCTGTTTTGTGCCTTTTTTATATCATTTTTTTGTGTTTGTGGGTTTATGTGGTTTACTTTGGGGCACTTGTGTTTTAGTTTTGTGCGTCCCTTAGTTTAACCTCGTTTTTGTTTAAGCCTGTGTGACCCGTTTTGTGGCACAAAACAGTAATTCTGTTGTTTTGTTTCTTAGTTTAGGTAATTTTCTGTATATATTTTAGTTTGTTTTGTTATTTAAAAAAAAAATTTTCTATACCTACATTAAAAATACATTATATTTATAAAATACATTATATTGTAATGTAGCCAGTCCATTACATGGGCCTAGGGCTAATTAACAGGTGAGGAAACAAAGTTTTAGAAATGTTTATTGAATAATTGAGTGCAGATTGAAATTACCTGTAAAAAGAAAAGGAAATAAGTAAAAGGAATAAGTGCATTTAAATCTAAGTAATTGTGTTAAGTGAATTGTACTTACCCTCTGGTGTGGTCTGTCTCAGGTGCTCCGGCCAAAAGAGTCCCCGGGGAGCCGGAGCACCTTAAGAAGGTTCCGGGCAAGCCAACCATGATGTTTGGAGGAGGGGAGCTCAGATTTTTTAACTTTTTCTATTTAGTATTTTAGATCATTAAACACTGCTAATTTAAATAAAGATATATATATTTTTTTAGTTACTGTAATTGAATATTTTTTGGGCACTGTTTTGATAGTTAACTTTTAAATATTAAATATAAAAGGTATTGGAGTGTACCTAGTCGTTAAAGTGGGCTCACCCAATTAGGACAGGGCCTTTAAAAGAAGCCAGCCTCACCTTGTTCAGGGAGAGGTGCTGTGTGAGCGCAGGTGACTGCCATGCCTGGTTTTAACCCTTTTTTTTTTTTTTTTTTTTTTTTTTTTTTTTTGGACTTTTGTAAATAGTTTTCTATCTTTTTGTCTGGAATAAATGCACTGGGATCTGCACTATAAATCAGCTCAACTTGACTCTGTTCCTCTAAAACCGCTAAGATTGACACCAGGCTATTACAATATATATTAAATACATTATTTAATTTATTCCATTATCCATTTTAGGTGTTTTTGTTATTTCCCTCATCCCAACAAGCTGGATCATAACAAGCTGTCTTGAGGTAAAAATAAGTGTCTGAACGCGAATTCTGGTATGATTTGAAGTTAATGTAAGTATTGAAAATGTTTTTTAAAGAATTTCTGTTGGGGTCAATAAAGTATCTATCAGTCTATAATGAAAAATGTCAAATCAGTTTTGCTAGCATTCTTTAAAAAAAAAACTACGAAGCAAATTGTTTGTTTTAAAGCCACAGTATGTTTGTTTATTTAATGAGACAGAGCACAATTTTTACCTGAACCTTAACAGGAGAGATGTTTGTACCAGGTTGTAGCATCAGTGCTCATTTCCATCTGTCGTCCCTGGGCAGGATCATTGATTGATTGATTGTATTTAACTGACCTTGACTATCAACTGTTCTTCCTGGAGACCTGTAGCATGTTTTGTGTTGATGGGGGAAACCAGAGTGCCATCAAGACTTGGGGAGAAACATGCAAACTCCACACAGAAAGGCTCGGGCGACCCGGGGATCGAACCCGGAAACCTTCTTGCTGTGAGGCATGAGTCCACTCAGTCACCATGCCGTAACTTTTAGTCAAAACTTTGGTTATAATATTCAGTCATATAACGTCTCACCTCCACAAAATGACATAGTGTGAACCTTTAAAATTGCTACATTCTTGTCTCCATGGAAATGTTTTTGTTTTGTCTGGAATGTTCCACAGTACAGGCATATTACAGCTCTCGGTTACATTATAATTCTGTGGAGAGGCGCCCCTATTCACAGAAGGAACGATTGTATTTTTAAGCAATAAACCCATCAAGAATCTCGGCCTTCCGGTCATCGCGCAATGCATACTGGGAAGGATTTTCCGAAAAAGTGAGCATCAAACCTCCATGTTTGTTTTCCCAGTGGGATGTGTCTATTGTCAAAGTCGATCTTTTCAAGTCTTTTGAACCATATCACTTTTGTTTCTGATTCTGATATTTTCATATTTTAGTTTTGGGATTCAGACATCGTAATTGTGTGGTTGTTGGATTCTAACAGCAGAAAACGGCTCAAGAAATTTGTTTGCGAACTCCATAAATGCAAAAGGGAATCAGATGTGTGTGACTGCAAACCTCTGTTCAAACTGTTTCCCTTCCCAACGGAATTGAAAAATAGTGAAAGGTGAAGGTGATGGGCAAGATTGATCCACGGGAAGGAGGAAAAAGGAAACCTTTGTCTGCCTAAGAAATCATCCTGAGTTTGCAGAGAACATTTTGTATGTGGAGCGACATCAAAGCAAAATCCCGTTTGTTAAGTGAGAGGTGCAGAAGACAAACAGGCTGAGCTTGCAGTTTCTTGTTCTTGTGGTTTTACAGAAATATTAAGTCTTGGTCGCTTTGCAGTGGAAGTTGTTTCTTGGTGAACAGCTGGTGCCATTTGCTTTGGTGTTGACTTTTAAAATTTGTAACTGAGGTTGAGTGAGGGATTGGGATTCTGCTTTGTTGTCGCTCCACCTACAAAATGTTCTCTGCAAACTCAGGATGATTTAGGCAATCAAATGTTTCCTTTTTCTTCCTTCCCGTGGATCAATCCTGCCCATCATCTTCACCTTTCACTATTTTTCAATTCCGCTGGGAAGGAAAACAGTTTGAACAGTTTGCAGTCACACACATCTGATTCCCTTTTGCATTTATGAAGTTCGCAAACAAATTTCTCGAGCCGTTTTCCACTGTTAGGATCCAACAACCACACAATTACAATGTCCAAATCCCAAAACTAAAATATGACAATATCAGAACCAGCCACAAAGGTGATATGGTTCAAAAGACTTGAAAAGATCAACTTTGTCAATAGACACATCCCACTGGGAAAACAAACATGGCAGTTTGATGGTCACTTTCTAGGACAATATTTCCCAGTATTCATTGAGCAATGACCGGAAGTCCGAGATTCTTGATGCGTCTATAGAAACTAGCCTGATTTATCAGCCAGTTTCACTTCATAGAATCCGTGTGACCTTGCAGTGTTAGAATTCGTTTGCTCGAGAGTAGGTGGGTACTTTTTTAATTTAACCAGTCGCTACTATTTGTTTGTGACGTATGTAACGCCCCACTAACGGGGTTAACTGGTATATTAAGCTTTTCCCAAATCCTGTAGGAAGAAGGACAATAACGTCTTTCCCCTTGATAAAATTCACCAAACATTCTCTTTGTTCCAGCTTTAAATCCTTGATCTTGGGAATCATTAACAACACAGAATGTCTGACTCTTCACTGATTGGCTGGTGCCTGAACTCACACTTCCAGGGTTTTTGCGAACCGTCTAGTGTATTCTGATTCCTGACCTAGTCGCTGGAGAGAAATTGAGTGGCGGCACTAGGTGGCACCAGCCTGACTAAATAGAAACACCCATAGTGAATAAATGTGAAATGGATATATTTAAAGTCATATTATGGAACATTCCAGGGAAACCTATAACACTTCTGTGGAGACAATCTGGTAGCTGACTTTCCACCAGAAACACTGCACAGTGCACCTTTGAGCTACCACAGACACACACACACCATTTTAAGATCTGTTTTTGATTTGATGCAAGATTAAGAATAGGCCTTTGTAGCAAAAATTAATCTGAGTTCTGCTAAGTCTTTGTTCCTCTTGACAGAAGGAAGACGGCGGTGGTGTGAGAGGAACTTCAGTTTGTCACTTGGCGGCCACTGTCTCACAGGCGTCACAGTCACAGCTCCGTCTCACAACAGCTTTCACACCAGCTCACATGAGAAGAGCAAAAACTGTCAGCCACTTAAGAGCTTTTAGGAGTTTGCTGCAATAAAAAGTCTGTAAAATGTAACTCAGATGCAAAACTAGATACACATTTGTAGAAACGCAGCTGCAGTCTTTATTCAGGACAATGTGAGAATAATGGACAGTGGAACCTTTCAACCTTTTTGGTCATATAATAAACACTGAGTTGATAGATGGAAGATAGATGGATTCAATAAATGTAAAAAAAAAAAATCATATTTTACTGTATCTGCCTTTGTTTGGGAATGGGAGCTATTGCACTGAAGTGACATTGTAAAATCAACAGTTTTTAAATTCAAACTAATAAAAAATTATAAGAGTTGCAGATGTGAAAAGTGATAGCAATAATTTCATTAGTCACTATATTAGTCACTCATTAGTCACTCATTTAGCCTTAAAGGTTCACTGCACAACTTTTTTTGGTGTAATGTTCACCACCTGACTGTCTCCATGGACATGCTATTGCTTTGATTTATTCATTACAGATCTTTCTATTGCTAAAAATACAACAACTCCTTCTGTGAATCACTACACGGCTCTTTGTTGTGAGGATGCTTGCAGCTACGTCAGCTCCAATTGGGCACTACAGTTTTCTAACTTTTTTCTTTGACTTTTGACTTTAAATTTTTTTTATTAAGTCATTTTAAATTTCCTAGTGAGCCAGAGTGTTGGAGACGTGTGGAGACACTTTTTGAAATATTCCATCCAGTCCTTGTATTTGCAGAGGTCACTGGTGCTAAGCTAGTGCATGTCAATGGCCATAGTTAGCCTGCCACTAAAAATAGTCTTACCCACTCCACAAAACACCCAAAACAAATCTATTATTACACCAGCCTGTCCATGGGAATGTCTGTACAGATGGAATAATTTTAGAAGTAAAAACAACTTTGCATTTGAAGGATTTCTGTCTGAGCAGCAGCAGTGAGTTGTACTTCCTGATCGAAAGCTCGGCAGCGGCAGACTGATGTCACCTGGCACCTGTCTTACCAGATCTATAATAGTTTGTTTACTTGCAGCTGCCATAGCGACACATAGAGCACATGAAGGAGTCTGTTCCAGATATGGCCACTGTGACAAAGTGGGCCTTTGTCCCATTTTAAACTACATTTGTTTAATTTTGCATTTTGTCATTCTCAGTATCCCAATACAGTTACAATAATTCGTGGTTCTTATTATCTTATCTTATTCTTATTATTATCACATTAGAAATTGTTCATTTAAATATACTTTATTTGTTAATTCATTTCAATTTTCATTCATCATACTCACCTGCAGCTCCACATGGTTC